TGGGTATGGGTGGGCTGTGGGTGTGTGTTTATGGTGTTAAACTGGTAATGTGCAGTTTATGTGTGTTTTCGTTATCGTGTACATATATATCGCATAGTGTCTATTTGTGTATATATGCGTTATCCTACAATCGAACGGGTCGGTGATACCCATAGTTCCCGACCGACGTGCGTAAGTATACTAGGATATAGACGTATCTTTTTCATCTTGTCTGTGCAGCCACGTGTCTGTGCCTCGTCTAACCCCTGACATACAAATTTTAGACGTGCCTTGGATGGTATCTATACGTATGCTTATAGTTGGGTGTTTTCTCTCAAATTAGCCTCGAGTATCACTAGTATATATCTTGGTTGTCACACGCTTGTACTGCTCTTACTTCAATTCAACTCAACCATTCTGCCCTATTTCTAAACCCTCCCCGCCACCGCCCTCACACACACACACACACACACACACCAGAACTTCAATGCCACGCTGCTGGCTGCAGTGTCTGGTGTCGACATCGCAATGGATGATGTGGACGATGACGAAGTCCAGGTACCGGGAGCGCGGATGTCCCAAAATAGCAACCAATCAAATGCGAGGAGTCTTACCGAGGCCTACAATCAGCACAGAGAACAGAGGGTGCACCTGGACATTGAGACACCCGATGGGGTTGAGTTGGACATGGTAGAGATCTCCTTAACCGACAACCCCAGGAACCCCAGGAGTGTGATCACCCATGCGACCGCGCATAGTCGCGGAGCGTCCATTGCGGAAGTGTGAGGGAGTGAGCATGGGCCGGTAATACTCTTAAACCCCGTTTATGTTCCCACACACCGCTTGGTTTCCCAAACACGACTTACTGTCCCGTGCACCTCTTAGTGCCCCAGACACCTGGGTGAGTATGTCGTGTACCGCTGATTGCCTCGGGTCTAACGTGGTGCTAATGGGTTCGAATTGTAGGCTAAAGTCGCCAGCATGATGGCCAAGCCTATACATGCACGTGGATAAGCCGCTACGGGAAGGGAGGGGTGTAGCCGAACGCAGTATAAAACTCAAGACTGGTTTAGGTGCTGTAGTACGCGATCGTGGGAGGGGTAGCTGTGACTCGCGCACTTGCACACACACACACACCTTCACAAGTAATTTAGAGAGTACAAACAGCACAGCACAGCGTTCGATGTACACGCACACACACGCACTGGCTGAGCCAGATGGTGGCATAGCCAGGGCGTGGCATAGGGCGTGTCAATCCCGGTGGTGGTAGGTAGCTACGCATTGTGGTACGTACCGGTATTCCCGGTCCATGACATTTATATTCTCGCCATGCACCTTCGCACATATGCGTGTGCCAAAGTCTGTCTTACTTTACTGAGAGGGTCGCTTGTGGTATACAGTCAGCGACGTTCAGGCTACAAAACAACATCGACTTATATCAAGCACACTTAGGATCTGCCTACGCACAGCAAGGGACACCTGCGTCATACCCACCTACCTACGCCTGTACTCCGTATATTCCCTGGTGAAACTTCGCAGGATCGTTCTACAGTCAAGCGGTCTAGTCCAGTGTATTGTTCCGCAGTACTGATAGACTACGGACTACGGTGGGTCTCATCCCCAGCTTCAGCCTGATGCAGAGGGGGTGCGAGATGTTCGGTACTTTCTCGGCGCATCGGTGTCGTGGATGTAAGGGCTTTGCAGGCAGTCACGTATAGTAAGGGACATGGGTGTACCGCAAGGAACGGTTCATCGATATGAGGAGTAGTTATATGTATAGGCGCATTGGTATAGTGGGATTGTAGAACATGAAGGTGTGGTGTGGTATATGAGAGAAGCCAGCTGGCTGTGGTAGGTTTTCGCATACCGGGGAAGAATTGAGGAGTGCTCGCATATACATACAGCCGCATGAATAGCTCTTTCGTTACCCTAAACCCTGAGGTAGACATGGCTCAGATGAAGCGACTCAGCTTCGGCCGACTTGGTACAGAATCCGTCCGACACACAACAGCCTAGCAATAAATAAAGGATTAACCGGCAACACCGCAGTGGGTACAAGCACGTGCAGTTGCCTCGAGTCCTATAAGCAGAAACCAATTACGATGCAATATCTCACGTGTACCTATTCACAGCCCTATAAGTTGTATGAGCTCTGTATCATATATGCTTGGTCTATTGTAGCAGGGCGATCGAGGGATCGGAGTGGTCTGATCGACACCTCAGCCCCTAAGATTAACACCCACTCCAAAAGAGAGAGTAATGATTCTTCGGGTTCTGGTATTATAACCACATAAATAACAGACAGAAACTTAAGGGTAAGTGATGTCTCTGTCCAATAGACTAGCAGTGTGTATGTATGATCAGAGGTAATTTAAAGACAATCTCGTACTATATATTTTAAACAAAGCCCTTTTTACTTCTCTATATGAGAAACAATTTTGTTTTCTAATGATATGTACTGATATCAGAATAATCAGACTATACAAACTAAGCGGACTGTCCGCCCGAGGTGTGGAGAGGAAGGCTGTGAAATTCACGTATTCCTCTGCTTGCTCTCACTCATGCCGAAAACTCCTCTCCCGCTAAGCACAGTCATCACGTTCTAATTGTAAATGTCAAATCAGCTGATAACCCTCAACGAGACCACTCTAGACTACCCTTTGGCAGGGGTCTATGGCAGCATTCGTTGAACGTGGAACACTTGTGCAGTACTCATATGATTCGGTGGGTCCCAAGTCTGTTCAGGCAACGCAGGCCATAGACCACTACCTTCAATGGACTAATCCTTATTGATAGTGTTCGTTCTGTTCTGCTGATAAGATGCTGAAACATCATTGGGCCTGCATAAGACCATGCCAATTCGACCACAGAGCTAAGAAGATCTGTCGCCAATGTCAAAGTAACTGATTTCGCATCCTGGGTCGAACTTCTGGGCATATTGGAATCGGTTGTGTCATGTGCCATACCTTCCTAGTATTGAAGACGATGACCTGTTCAGGAACATAGCCAAGGAACAACCCTGAACAAACCCCTCTAGTGAAGCAGCGCATGCTGCGCATGCTGGATTCGGTCCAGCGTAACAACTGTAAGACCGGATGTAGTGAAATCCGTGTATTTATCCGAAAGCATTGGTACTTGGCAGCGGTGTCGCGGAGGTTTATTTCATACATCTGCTACCTAGTTATACCGAGCCGGAGTCACCGCCCACACGTATCAGAACACAGAGCTGGAACATTGTGGGGTTGTCCCACGTTGTCACACGACTTGAGTTGAAGTCGATGGACTAGAACCGAGCCCCGGCAACCTAGGGCCGAGAGTTTGGCGAAAGGGATGTATGTATGAAGCACTCGTTGGTATGTATGAAGCACTCGCTGTTATGTATGGAGTACTCACTGGTGTTGCTAAGTTACGGGCCATCACGTGGAATCGAGGACTATATACTGGAAGAGACAGTCCTCGAATTGCATACAACTTGGGAATGTGGCTCCTGAAACTACGTCGACACTGTTCGGTACCTTAAAAGACAGAAGCGTTTATACGCAGTCGAATACTAAGTCTATTTATTGTCTGTAGTTCGCTTAGTATTGTTATCCTTTCCTGTCGCTGTACGTAGTACCCGCATCTGCCATGTATATGTTTCGCTGATAGACAAGTGTATGTGTTCGCATATTTAAGTCGCACAACCACTAGGTCGACATTATTTGGACTTGTGTACGTATTTGTATACTTACGTGTAATGATTTAGGTGTTTAGTTGCGGTTGTCCTTATAACGTGCTAAAGCTATTCGCAATCTATTGCGGTTACATACTATACCTAGTGTATATTACAGCGTCTCCGTTTTCTCGAAAGTTCTACAATACGTGTGGTGCCCGCTTTGACTGTGTCATGCAAATCTATCGTAGCTCCTGTGCTGCTAGATTGCTCAACTTTCCAGTATTACTCCCACTATACACCACCACCAGTTGGCGCAAGAGATTGATAGCCGTCTAGCCAGGTTTATATGTAATACTAGCAGTTTACGTTGTTTTTGTCTACAGTGTACATTACAACATTCAACACGCCAAATCGCGTACCGCTGCCAAGCCATTCTAAGGGGCCATTTTTGTGCAAACACAGATGTGTACATATTACTAGTCTGATACGACGATACACTCGTGGGCGCTGTGGGCGCTGAGACTTCTATACTTTTATATCTTAAATATGCCTGCACTGACCACCGCGCGCGAGGATTCGACCGTCGTATGTATGTATAGTACGAAAGCGAACGCGCTTTTCAGTCCCTCCATATCAAAAAATACGTTGCACCAAGACATAATGACTTAACATAAAACATGTATCGGTATATACGCGTACATGCGCTGAGTTACCTGAGAACATTCTTTTCGCAAGTAAGTTCCTCCTGTCCGACAATCCGTCTCTAGTTATTTTCTGTCTGAAGCTTTCGTCAGTCACACCACCATACCAAGAAAATGACACGACAGTCTTTCACTAGATAGTGCAGGCAGAGGGCCCATCCGGGGTCTCGTATTGAGTATCACATGTGGCTTAAACGAGTTGTGATATGTGTGACCAAATTGCCAAGCAAGACCCTGTACAATACACAGGTAGAAAATGTAGTATACATTGAGAACTGCTACAACATTACTTATCAAAACTCTACATTTTCTAACCGCACGTAGCTGTTTCAAACACCTATACTAGACTACCTGGTCACATGGATGCAGACGCCATCAACTTCTCTCAGGAATATTCTTTTTTACTATAATCACTCCGTACTAAAATAACAAAGACCATCCTGCATTCTTTAAGCAATCTTCCACGCTACTAGTAGAGCCACTCAGCACACTTACTATCTGCTGGTCTTTTTTTATTTATATATTTAAATACATATCTGATGTTTTATACATCCGTAGCCTACACGCTTTGCGTATATTTATATAGTGATTAGGGGAGCCTCAGTTCATTTTTTTTTAATAGAAAATAGTTTGTTATGAGGCTTGACTCTTGACAGCCGCGACACTGACACCGTGCCAAGACGCACTTTTTTTCCGGAATATGTTGTTGACTTTGATGGGGTCAATTTGCGACAGAACTTGATTGTGTCGATTTTGTCGATCCCACAGCTAACCCCAGTAGTTCCAGAGAGTTTACGACGTATTGACGATAAAGTGTTGCAATTTCACCATAGCCACGAGATTCCGCATTTTAACCTTAGGTTTTGACACCCAACAAAACCGGACTGTGTGGCCCCTGTATGTATTTGCTGTCACTGCTATCGCCACTCCGCTGTGCGTTCGCACTGTTCGGGAAGTTGGTGCAGTGAGAAAGTGTTCTATCTCATAAATAAGCAGGAATTTATGCCCACGCAAGCAGATTCGTACATAACAGTATACAGAGTGTAGTATTACAGCAACTAAAGCAATGTCAGCCGACGATCTTAAAGCACAGGGCAACAGGGCATTTGCCGCCAAAGACTGGGCCACGGCTATTGATCTGTTCACTCAGGCTATTGTGGTGGCACCAGAAAACCACGTGTTGTACAGTAATCGCAGTGCAGCGTACTCGAGCTGTGGCGAATATCAGAAGGCGCTTGAGGATGCTGATAAGTGTGTGAGCATCAAGCCCGATTGGCCCAAGGTGTGTTGGGACTGTTGGTGTTGAAGGGTGTTTGCTTAGTATTGATATCTCTTCGGTGGGGGATTTTCTGTCGTTGTCGTTGTGTGTCTTCCCTTGCTTGGCTGAACGTATTCTTGGTACTTGAAATAGATATAAGCCGGAGAATATGCAAGCGTATATCTATGTATTCTATCAGAACTGTGTTCCTTCTCGTTCTGTTCGATTGGTGGAATTGTACCAGTTCTGACAAAAAAAATATGATCGTATATCACTTTGTTTAGACTTACATCGCACTGGTTAATTATAGAACTATATGTATATATGTATATATATATATATATATATTGTATTAATATAACTATTAGTATGAGTATACGAATTCATTTTCAACGCCGATGGAACGTTTGCGCTTGGAATATATTCGCGATTTTAGCAGTTCAACAACCGTGTGATTCTACCGTATGTAGATGCATAAGGTATACTATGGTATATATACATATATATATATATGTGTGTGTGTGTGTGTGTATAAGTGTATAGTCATCAAGACTGTGTGGATCATATATACTTTCTGTGCTTTGATCACTTTATCTATAGAAGTGTCCTCTAATCATCATTTTGAGAGCTCTGTATGAGATAATGTTCATATACATTTGCTATATAAATGGTGTTACACGCGTTCAAACGCTCGCGTAAACATACATGCTCGTGGAAAAGATGTGTGCGAATTGAATTATCTTTGTTCGAAATCTGTGATTGGATACATACACAGAAGATGCTTCACCCTCAATGCTTCACCCTCAATTTGGTGTCATTGTAAATCTATCATTTACTTGAGAGGCTACTATTATCAATTGCATATACTTATACTTATGTGCTCACCCTTGGTATCTAGTACTTGGTGTATACATTCGTGCTTATGTGATTATATTAGTAATATTATATATATATATATATATAGTCTTGTCCTTGTATTGCCTATTTGTTATTTGTGCGTACTGTTACTTCTCTGCCAGCATATCCTTATTCACGGCGTATGTTTATGGTATCATCTATATATATATATATATACGTTACTGAAAGCGTAAGCTTTTCTTAAGTCCCTATTGACATTATCACCGATTTCTCGTCTGTTACGCAAAATCTGTCCGTGACGCTTTTTGCCTATTTGTAGGCCCCGTTGGAGTTCCCCAATTTTAGAAACAATATGCCCCGGACTCTTTTGTAGTCCCTAAGTCCCTGACCCTGTACTAGAGAAAACAAATAAGTTAGCCCTATGATTATACGCTTTCGGTCCCTGTGGCTTCCCAATCGCGATTTAGGGTTTAACTGCGCGACCAGTTGTTCTTCCAACCTCTTCAAGTGTTGTATGCAAAGCTTCCCGTATGCAATCGATACTTGGTTGCAAGAGCAACTGGTCGCGTAGTTAAACCCACAATCGCAAAGGTTTTCGTACAACACTGAAAGAGGTTGGAAGAGCAGCTGGTCATATATATATATATACCTTGTGTTTAATCAAACGAGTCTCCTGATGATAAAGTCGTATTCCAATGCTCAGATCCGCAGTCTGATTTAATACTCTACATGTATGTATATGAACACGCGCGTGTAAAATATGTTTGTCTCTGCTGCGTACGGTTGTAGAAGTTTAACCCAGCATGTACATATATATATATATTATTCACTGCTTCGGTATCACTTCTGCCAGTATCAGCAATGTTCCAAATGATAGAGAGCTTTGTTGTTGTAACACATATACAAGAGTTAATGTTTATATCATACCGGCTTGTATGTCTTGACTTGATAGCTTTATATTCTGGAACACTGTCTATTCGTAGCAAAAGGAATCTCAACATTACAGCGATAAAATGCACCTTTTTTGGGACTGCCATTAACTGTTACGCCACATTACATATACTAAATACCCCACTCACCCAATCCGTATATCTCACCCAATCCAGGGCTACAACCGCAAGGCAACAGCACAGGCTTTCATGCACGATACCGATGCAGCTATGGAAACATACGAAACCGGACTAGAGAAATGCCCAGGAGACCCCACCTTGACTAAGGGACTCAAAGACCTTGCAAGCTCAGGTATGTATCCATGAGTTTGTTTGATACGTATAACTGCGTGTGTCGGGCTGCATCCTGTGGTAGATAGCAAGAGGACAATATGCATGTATGTATATATGTGTGTGTTTGTATGTATGTATGTATATATACGTGCGTAGAGTTAGTTAGGAATTTGATAGTATTTGTGCATTTTGATAGTTTATTAACACTTTGTTATACTACTACTAGATCAAAAAACGGGACCTGTCAGGAGTTTGTACAGCAGGTACAACTCTTTTCTCGAACCCCGATCCGTAGTCCAAGGTTAAATGATGGTTGGGACACCGTATATATCACCTCTGGCATGTATCCTACACATTTACCAGCTGTCCGATATATATCTAACTAAATATTTTATACGCACATACCCTGACAGCTAGTGGCAGCAAGGACCCTATGCAGCAGCTCTCGTCCCTGTTCACGGCACCCGATTTGTGGGCTAAGGTGGCCATGAACCCCGACACGCGACACCTGGTGGGCAATCAGAAGCTGCAAAAGGACATCGACGAGATAAAGGCCAATCCCTCGATACTTATGGCGTATGTTGTGTTGTTGTGTGTAGCTGATGTTGTGAAGTATTGTGTATATCCATTGAAGTGTTACGTAGTTCTGTTTGGGTGGGCATGGAGGAGATCAAGGACAATCTTTTGAAATGTATGGTGTATGCCGTGTTTATGCTTTATACTCACTTTAGCGAATGTACCCGAATGACATGTATATTACTCACTTCTGGCGTATGTAGTGCTATTATGTGTGTCCAAATGAGGGCTTGTGTGTCGGTGTGTTTCTTGCGTGTGATGCGGAGAGAGCGTATCTTACCATTGCCGTTAATGTGTTATACCGGCGTTGTGTGATATTTGGTGAGTGTACATCCATTCCGCGACGCAACACGCATATATATATGTGTGTGTGTTTGTGTGTATGTATGTACATTTGACTTGTAATTCTCATTGTCACTATATATTCTTGATTCAATCTAGTGATTGGTACTTACACTGCCGGATTACACAAAATATATTGATAAAAGTGCAACAGTTGGGAGTGGCGTGTCACTTGATGATATTAGTTAACAGTGGTCCTAAAGCCATTGATTGTTTCTCTGTATCTTTGTGACTGTATTATTGTCTTGTTCACGTTCACTAGTGTATATGAATATGTATATACTATTGAACACATGCTTCTGTATGTATAACATACACAACTTCTATATATTAACATACTGTCGCTATCGTCGCTAATAAAAACATCATCTCTATCGCATCAACAGGAAGATGCAACAAAACGAGGATCTAATGGCCATTCTTGGTGTAGTCATGGGCATGCCAACTGCTCCCAAGAAGGATGATGCAGGTGCAAGCACCAATGATACCGATGTAGATATGGCCGAAGCCACCCAGGTAATCATAGACATGTACAACCAAGTGTATCTGAAATAGCTACATGTACATCCGGATGTATTTTCAAATGCTGTGTAAAATTTACAGTATGGATGTGTACTGGTTTATATAACTCCCGTTTGTTGAAATGTATCTTTTTGGCATGTTTTGTACATAGTACGTACGTTCATTGGTATGCGTATGGATACAGATTTTGTCAACTTTTAAGCTCGCGGGTTAAGAAGGTTTGTTTTGCACTGAACGTAGGGATACTTTATGGTATTTAACAAACATGTGCACACGTTTACGCGTACATTTACAATTCTATACAATTACCATGCCCACTCACACACGCTCATCTCAGGAGGAGGCGGTTCACGAAATCGATCCAGAGGAAATTGTGGTTGATGAAGTCGAGGAGAAGCGATTGAATGCCTTGTCCGAAAAAGAACTAGGCAACGCGGCATACAAGAAGAGGGACTTTGACACAGCCATTGCGCACTACGAGAAGGCGATCGAGCTACACCCAGAGAATATGGCGTTCTACAATAACATGGTGAGTACGTGCGTGTATATGTATTTTCGGATGTGAAATGTGTGTAAACGTTTCGCAGAGACGGTTGTGTACATTTTTATTGATTTAGAAATGTCAAGAAAACACTGTGGCAGGTAATAATATATGTATTTTTTTTCTCCAATATATGACACTTTTTACGCGCTGCACAGTCCGCTGTATACTTCGAGCAAAAGGACTATGAGAAGTGCCGCGAGATGTGCAAGAAGGCGGTGGAGGTGGGACAGGAGCAACGCGCCGAGTACGCGCTCATCGCTAAGGCTTATGCACGCATCGGCAACTCATACCACAAAGAAGGTAGGGCATGTAGGATGTCATATATATGCAATGTGTCTGTGATATATATCTGGTCGTGTATGCATGCTTATCTTGTTTTAGGATAGGATGCATGTCCCTGGTAGATTGACTGATTGTCTGTGATACACGCGTACACCTATACGTGCAGGCAACTACGACGACGCCGCCACATGGTTGAACCGCAGTTTAACCGAACACCGCACCAAAGACACACTCAACAAACTCAACGCCATCGAAAAGGAGAAGAAGGAGGCCGAGGCAAAGGCTCTCCTAAACCCTGAGGAGGCTACCAGAATCAAGGAGGAAGGAAATGCCATGTTCAAAGCCATGAAGTATCCTGAAGCAATCAAGGTGCATTAAATTGTTATTGATGTATTTGTATATATAATATATATGTATGTAGTGTGTGTTTTTTGTGTTGAGTCTTGTGTGTTGTGTGACTACGAATGTCTAGTTTACAATCAAATGGAAGGTGTGTAGGATAGTATGCGTAGACTCTACACCGACATTGCCCTCCTCATCAGAATTACTTCACATGTATATATATAGGATATACGAACATGTTTTACACTTCCCTCTCAAACACTATGCGTATATATTTATGTATATACGCGCTAGATGCTCATCTTTGTTTGCCGCCCATTCACAGCTATATACAGAAGCCCTCACGCGTAACCCTGACGACCACACCATATACTCCAACCGTGCTGCCTCGTACATGAAGCTGGGTGAGTTCCCACACTCACTCAAGGACTGCGACAAGTGCATTGCAATGGCACCGGACTTTATCAAGGGACACACCCGACGAGGTATGCATATGCACACGTGCTCATGATATCTGTCTATGCCAGGATGGAAAAGATTTCTGTACGTATATGCTAGGACAATATTGTGGTGTACTTCTGTATGGTCACGCATAAAAAACATGCACTTTCTTACTCAAACATGTGTACAAACCTCAATTTGTTTGCGCACATTTGGATATCCAGTGTGTAAGCGTGTAGGCAGTCAATTATGTCGAAGTCTGCATAAGTACAATCACGTCTATGTGTCTATAGATGTATATTTTTGGACCTAAAACGCAGTTAAACATTCACAAAAACACAAAACACACAGTAGAGTGACTTAGTGTATGATCAAATTAACCCATTACCGCGCTTCCGACCACTACTGTACATCCTTAGGCAACTGTCTGCTGGCCATGCGGGAACACCAGCGGGCTCTAGAGGCATTCGAGAAGGCGTTGAGTATCGACAAGGACAATAAGGAAGCCATCGATGGCGTACAGCGTGCCTACAGGGCCATGAACGAGAGGCTGCAGGTGTGTACGGTCTTGCAGCATTGGCTATATATATATATTATCCGTCTGAGAATGTCTAGATGTACAGTTGGGAAATAGTGTACGCATGTGGGGTGGATGTCTTAGTTGTGTGCTGATTATTTTGCGCTCGGATTAGGCTTGTAGTTGTATAATAACAATAAAATTCGGGGGAGGTATACCTGGATTGGAGTATGTTAGTGTAGAGTTGATATCTCATCGAGCTTGTCTGTAATTTTAAAACCGATATAGAGTATATCTGAAGAGTAACTTGCCTATCCAAGCCATGGTGAGGCGAATTGGTTATATATGCCTAACTATGACTCATTCTCCACATATATTGACAGAATATGTCTGAGGAAGAGCGTGCCGCTGAAGCTATGAAGGATCCCGAAGTACAAGCCATCATGGGCGATCCCGTCATGCGCATCGTGTTGGATCAGATGCAGAACGACCCCGCCGCCGCACAAGAGTACGTACTGTTTTATGCTCAAGTCTCGCTTGTACACCTAGATTTTTTAGGTGTTTTCAGTGACTATTTAATATGTAGTACATTGGGCCTGTATTATACCACTGTTGCTTATAGCCGTTATATTTTAGAACATGTAGTGTGGTCTGTCTAGATCATGCCTGATTTTTTTTTCTGGTATGAAACAGAGGGATACTTCTGTACCTCCGGATGTATTTTCAACATCACGACTTAAATCGTCATATTTTCATAAATATGCAATTCTACTATCAACAGGCACTTGAAAAATCCTGAGATATCTGCAAAGCTGCAGAAACTCATCAACGCCGGCATCATCCGTACGCGGTAGATACGCCCCTGTATACACACAAATTCCCACATACAGATTTTCACACATACTAGCACTCGAATACACATACACACGCACACACATGGATTTCAATGTACACGAATGAGTGTGTATTGATTAGAATGGATGACGCCTCTTTGAGGTACGTAGCCAAAGATACAGAAGGCATATTCTGCTCACAGTCCCTGGTGGCTGTATACACCAACTATGCCCACAAAATCATGGCATATGGTTGCACGCCGACAAGTCCGTCTCATCTTGATGGCCAATCACATCCTGTCATGAACGAGGCGTGGCCTACTCACTGTGGGAGCTTTGTATGAGTTCCTCTCAGCTCAGTGGGTATCTAATGCAGCAGCTGAGGAGACCCGTCTGTGCGGCAGGTGGAATACGCACGACTGTGCTAGCCAAACAAATGTGACCTTCCAACTAATAAATTAGAAGACGCAGATAATTTACCAGTTGTATCCTGTCTTAGAAATGCACTCAGTTATCGGTCCACGCATACTTGCTTCGTTCTGTTTTGGTGATTGTCCGGTAGAAACCTCCGATCTTTGCACAGCCATCAACGCCTCGTGAGTAGGAAACCGGAATGGCTACTCGCCAATTCAACTTTGTTTAGAAACGCTGTATTTGCTATTTCCGTGAAGTAGCGAAACTAGCACTTGAATGGCTCTCGCATGTTAGCATTTTGATTCGGTCTATTTACTGCTAAAACTGTCAGGGCAACCTGTATTTACTCTACACCCATATTACACATCCGTAGCAGTCCGTCTGAGAAAATTGTCGTTTCAAAATTGGTTTTATTCCTACTGAAAATTGAGGGTCTCATGTACTTTAGGAGAGGTCTTTCTTTAGCCTAATTCTCAAAATATATATGGGGGCCAAAATGTGGCGCGGTCGTTGTTTATATGAGCGACTATTGGATCGTCCGTATAGATAATTATATCAACAACATATAAATTTATATATATCTATATATCTATATTATATATATATATATATATATATATATATATATATATATATATATATATATATATATATATATATATATATATATATATATATATATATATATATATAGATATATGTATATATATATATATATATATAAACCCAGCGATATTAACGCCTTAGAGTAATTAAACGCTTAGGTTAAGTCTAAGTATAGTTAAATTCGAAATAAATAAACAAAATGAGTCTTCTAGTAAAGTTAGGTATGCCTCGTGAAAACAGCAATACTCTGAGGGATTGTGAGGCTGAGACATTGCCTATATATAGTCCTCTCAGTACTGTTTTCGCCGAAGGGATTTTATTTAGTGTTTCGTTGTCGCTCTATTAGAAACTATGGTATTTTTCGTTGGGGCGAATCCGAGAGACTCATAAAATCCTATCTTTAGAAAAAAAGAAAGAGAAAAAAAAGAAAAATACTCTTGATGTCCATAGTTATTGCATTAACCAATAACTTGCCACTTATCAAGAATTGCCGACCTAGCCTTCATCAGACTGGCACATCTGGTTGACTGAACGGAGGTTAAACTAGGTAACGCTAATAGTCCCTAGAAACCTGTATTCGGTTGAGCCATCTCGCTACCGAAGTTTTCAGATATAAATATTTGGAAAGTAAACATAGTTCTATTGATAGAACTAGACCAAATCTTATGTTTGGTATTTTACTGGGGCCTTTAAATGGCCTTGTCCAAATATCTGATGTGTAAAATGGAAAAGGTATTAATTAATAAAACCGTTAAAACCCATTTAGAAAACATAAGTTCCTCGTACTATTAAGAGTACCTTTATAGTTTACGTACTGCTTAAGAGTACGTTTATAACATAGAGTCTAATGTGGAGGCCCGGCTATTACGCAGCCCCCACCCAGCTTTGAAATCCAAGAGAGACTAGTTGCTCACGCAAGCCGATTTTGGATTTACAAAGCGAGAAGGAAAAAACGGGTCGAAAACATTAAGTAACATAACATATAGTT